GGTTATATTAGACATATTAAATACCGAATAAAAAATTTTTACTAGGTCTTACTATATTAGAAGGTTATAAAATTATATTAAGATTATTAAAATAAGATTATACTATACTTATAACTTAGAGACAATATAACTTATATTGTAAATTAATCGTAACTTACATTTGCAACCTTCTATTTTGGGCAAATTAGTTATATCAGTACGATATGAGAGGAATGGGGACCTTTCTATATGTTTTCCTATTTTAAAAAGTGTTATCATTATTGTTATTGTATTTTACTTATTTTAGAGTATTATTATGATCATCATATATATCACACGGTTGCTACACCGATTCCTGTTAAGACTATAATGATTTTCATAATTATATAATAACATTTTTAATCAATAAATACTTTCAACGAATAATTCATAGTATAATAGTCTTTGAAACAGTTTTCTAAAATCCTGTTATAAATTATTATAGCTAGTTTATGACTCTAGGAATTCATTAAATAAGAATAAAGCCTCATATATAAATTTAATTTGTTAATAATCACAGATAAATCTACAAAAATTAACCAATCAGACAAACTTCTGCTTATGACATCTGATATTTATTATAATAACCAAAAAATAATACATATTATTTATTGCATATTTGGTTATATTGTATGTTTTTATATTGAAGTTGACTCAACAACTAAGTCATGATTTATAAATGAAATAAAATAAATACTGTATTATATGTATGATGTGAGAATTAACAGTTGTTTTTACAATAAATAAACAGGAGGAACCGTTAATGTTACATGACTGATTTTACACATGGTGTGAATCACATAAAAATATTTTACAATACTTTGATCAGACTTGATTAGTGTCACAGGCTAAAATGAAGGATCTACAAAATTAGACACAGCAAACCCATGATCAAAGTAAATTAATTTAAGAAATACTGGTTTATTGGTTGAGGTTTATGGGCCGAATAAAGACAAAACAATAACCAATGCAAAATCCGAAGAACAAAAAATGCGTAAGAAGAAATGAAAGAAGACTGATAATCAAGATTAGAATATAATTGAAGTGGCTGTAAAATGAATGACTGTAGGAGCGAAGCAAAGCCTTCCTTTTTTTATAATGATGTTGTAAATTAATATTGTAAGCCCCTTACATTAGAACTAGTTTTCTTAAAGTCATTAACGAAGTAATATATGAGTCACCCCTAAGCCCCTTGAACCCTCTACACTTGCTAAAGCTATAAAAACTCTAGCATATCGTCCTTCTTAAAATGATTATTCTACGGGATTCTAATAGCCTCTTTCTAAAACATTTAATAAATCACCTGGTCAAAGATATTTAATAAAATAAACTATTGTCAAATCACCAACGTCACGCCTCTGGCGAGTTGCCTTATATCATAAATTTCTATATTTTCGTGTTTACACTAATTAAACGTACGATTCACCCCGTAACATCAGTCAGCTAGTACATGTTATGATTATAATCCAACACCATTTTTTATTATAAAAAAATAATGTTGGATTATAATCGTAACATCTATTAGCTGACTGATCAAGTCCGATCAAGTATTGTAAAATAATTTTTTTATGTGTTTCACACCGTGTGTAAAATCAGATGTGTAACATCAACAGTTCCTCCTGTTCAATAAACGTGTACTGAACTAAATTAAATTCCCTTTTATATTCGTTTATAGTAAAATTAGCCCAGGAACAATTTTCACTTAATGGGCGGCTGTGATTTCATTAGTAAAATTTTGACAAAATTTTTGATCGTCGCTCTTAGCCAATCAAAATCGAGAATCTGCCGGGACGCGGCAGCTAGGGTTAATCTATTAAACCTAGGTGCCGCACAAAAAATGCGCGGCAGATCCTCGATTTTGATTGGCTAACGGCCGTTGATCTGCAAAATTTGGCCCGCGTTACATAATTGTTTACTAATTTCTGGTCGGAATTAACTTTTTAATCTTTTCATTCTAAAAAAAATGGTAATTTTCAAAGAAATAGACCCTCACAATGATAAAATTAGCCCAGGAACAATTTTCACTTAATGAGCGACCGTGATTTCATTAGTAAAATTTTGAGTAATTCCGGTCAAAATTTTTGATCGTCGCACTTAGACAATCAAAATCAAGAATCTACCGCGCATTTTTTGTGCGGCAGCTAGGTTCAATGGTTAATCTTTAAAGAATTTGTTGCGCCACAAACCTGAACACGTTTAAGAATTGCATATCAGTATATATTATAGTCTTGGACAATTCAGACAAAACAGACTTTCACCCATGTACTATATAAAACGGTAATTAATATAGATTTGGAATATGAGTGCTGCAAAACTAAAACATGCAATCTTATTAGATAAGCATGTTTTTAGTTTTGCAGCACTTACATATTACAAAAGATTATAATTCATTGAGTGAAATTACTCAAACAACGCTTTTAATCGACTGAAATTCACTGACAGCCAAAAATCAAAAGATAGAATCCGGTTTGGTTACTTATTTATATACCTAATCGTAGCGATAATAACAGATAATAAATAGTAAAATATCTATCTTCTAAGCAAATTAAATCAGAAGTGAGACTATTTTGCACAACGAATAGTGATGTTATTTCAAAATTAGAAATCACTTTTGTGTGATTTTTTTTATTAGTGAAACGTTGCGTTCTCCAAAAGCATTCTAAAGTGAATAGATAAGTTGCTTGGGTAATTGATTCATATCAATCAATAAGAAGCATGTTCTTCCTTAACTTGTGGATAACATCAATTCCCTTTTCAGTAGTTTTATTTTTCAATGATTAATCTTTAATCTTATTGACATTCATGCGCAAAATATTTATTCACTGTAATAATTTGCGACATTCTTTAACCCGTCGCTTAATTAAGGATACAATAAGTTACTAAAATTGGGTTCTAGATCTGTTAATCATAACGATAATGTTAAAATATTTTTCCAGATATAAATACGGAAGTATTAACAATGCTTAGATATTGTGATGCACAAAAAAAAAAAAGTACAAATTTTAATGTAACGATGCTTCGGACAATAAACACCGACACATTTGCATCTAAGATAGTACTGTTTATTAACCAATAAAGTCGAAAATTTTTTATTATAAGCTTTAAATCAAATGATTAAAGAGAAATAATAATATGAAATTATAAGTTATGAATGAGCGCACCATTTGAAAATAAAATATCAACTTGTGTATTAAACAAAAGATATAAATTTCCTTATTTGCATGTTGAATATTTTCACTTTTATTTTCGTCTTGATCACAAAAGTCCAAAAATCCATATCTCTAATAAAACATTGTAAATAAAATTAAACCAGATTTTAAATATAAAGTTCATAAAAATTTTTATGTTCAAATTAATTTTCTGCAAATATGATGAAAATTCTTTATGTTCATTTAGGCCTTTATTTTATAATTATCTTATCGCTCTATGCAGTGCAAGTTGCACCCCAACCCAAACCCCATCCCGGAGTCTACAAAATTCCTACATATGGTGTTGGTAAATGTGGCGGATCATTTGATATTCTGAGATATGAAATCTTCGTTAGGGATGCGGTGAATAATTACGGTTATTTTATAAGCTACCTTCTTGAAATGAAAACCTCTATGAATTTAAATGGGACAGTTACACGTAGGTAACTTAATAATTTTATACCGTTTTTTTGTAAATTAATATCATAATAAAATGATGTCTTAACTATGCTTTCTAGCGAAAGCGCACATCTTTGCCTGGGCACCCGATGGTCTACACGATTTTAATCTCCCATCATTTGTTGATAAGAAGTGTTATTTTACCGTTCCAGAATTTTTGGGTGGATGCTGGATTCTCAGAACTCAACCTACTGTCATAATAAATGCCACTTATCCGCTACTTGGATACCCTTGTATTTGTCTTATTTTATTTGTTTTTTTTTTTTTTTTTATAAAAAATTCGGAAATTAACTATTATTGTATATCATTAGATGTGATTGGGTATAATTCAGTTCCGATGGCGGATGATTGGAATCAATTTATTGGCAATTCATCGGTTGAAATAGTACAAGGGGATAACGGCAGTATCCTAGGGTGTGCTTTCGCCTCTTTCGGCGGCAATCCTCTTGGACAAGAAAGTCCATCAGGAAAACTTTCATCCGTGTATAATGCACCATTAGCTATTGGTACAGCTTTTGTAGCAATCAGTTATGTGATATCAAAAACTGGAATTGTGAAATTTGGAAGTGCTGATAAGGTATGTTCGCTTAGTTGATATTTAACTTATATAATTTTTATTAAATTACTTTTGTTCTGTATGAAAAGCCAGATGCTCATGACCATGGTTTATCTACAAGTGAAACTGGTCATGACCATGGTTTATCTAAAAGTGAAACTGGTCACGGCCATGGTTTATCTACAAATGAAACTGGTCACGGCCATGGTTTATCTACAAATGAAACTGGTCATGACTATGTAGTAACTACAGATGGTACCGAAAAATCGTGTGTACCGTGTTCTAAAATTTTTAATGTAAAATTAGCACCTTCTGTATATGATATCTTTCGTGCTGGCCAGTTTTTCATAACAACTGCACTAATTTCTATACCTAATATTTCGGAATTCTATCGAGATTTGGCTTCAAAACTCAGTTGGTTATGTGCTTTACCAAATAGTTTTAATTTGATCTATCTATCCAGCATTGCTGATAACGGCATACGGATTGCAATATGCCGGATGTCTAAGACTTGTAAAACAACTACCGACGTCACGTACAATAGTACTGAGATTTGTGATCTGGATTCTAATTCTGGATTTTACAGTTTCGCAAAAACTTTATCAGTTCCATCTTATAATTTATTTTTCTTGGCGTTCATGGCTTTTCTTTCTGCATTGGCACTTGCCATTGGTATTACATTACTCATTTGGGTAATGGCTCGGTATGGTGTCTGTTTATACAATAAATGGAAAATCTTACAGACGGTTGCTGCTAATTGTCTTTTTTTGATACTTGGTAGGTTATGCATTTTGCATATTTTAAATTTTTTTTATCATAAATGATAAACATTTTAACTTTTAATATTTATACTTTAGGTGGAATGTTACGTGTGGTAATTATCAAATCATTCTAATGTTTGTGAACTTATTTATAGTGTAACTAACTATTATTTTTATATTTTTAGTTGATCCTCTTTTATTATCCCTTAATACTCTTTGCTTCTTATCAATTATATCATTACAATGACTGCTTTCTACTCCTTCTACTCGCTGGAATTTGTATAGCAATATTTTCTCTCGGAGTAATGGCCTTTTGCAGCAAAAGAATCCTTTCAGATTTATATAGATATATTTAAAAAGTCTGATCATAAATTTATTTACGGTGCATTATATACTCAATATAAAGAAAATAATGATATAAAAGATTCTCGTATCTGGTTTTTTATAATTACGTTTTCTTATGATTTCTCTCGAGGTGTTATTACTGGGTTAACCCAAGATTACAATATAATTCAAGTGGCTGGTTTAATTGTTACTGAATTAGTTTTATTAATTTTATTAAGTCGTTTTAAACCTTTTAAAACTCGTCTAATGAATGTTTTAAATATTTGCTCATCAGTTTTAAGGTTATTGATTTCACTTTTATTAATTACTTTTATTTTCGTTTCTATTCAACCTCTTGAAACGTTTATTTATATCTTACAATTTATGCTTGTTTTTATGTTATTGTTTGTAATTTTATTACAATTAATTACTACAATTAGAAATTCCTGTTGTAAAAAGAAGGAATCAGAAAACGATGATAATGAAAAAAATAATTGAAATATGTTAATAATTTTTATAGGATATATAGTCTTTTTTTAACGCTAATAAATTTTGCCCGATCTCCTTTATAATATATTATTGCGATGTAATTTTTTTTATTGTTCTCTAAGTGCACGTCGTTAAAGTTAGGTCCCAAAAGCGTGCACTTATGAAGGTTTTTACTGTAGTTTATTTAAATATTAACATTAATAAATATTATAATACAAATAAATAGTAAGCATTTATGAGCTTGAATAGCTTACGTTAAATATTTAGGTTAATAAATACAAATACCTTCCAATATTTCGACTAGCTGTTGCAAACTAGATACAATCACTAGTTTAATAATAAAAATTTTGATCTTTGGTTTTGGCCTAATTAGGTAAATTTACACTTTGTCAAAAACTTATTTTTGAATGTTAGTCATGCTTACATAACGGAGGTTCAAAACAAACGAGTGTTTTAATAAAAAATTTTCCTTATTAATTTCTATTCCTTACTTAATATGTATGCACAACAAACCGATACACACTTCAGACGTGTGCCAAAAGATTTCAAAATATTTTAAACTGTATATATTGCGTTCCTAGCTTTAGCAAGACTATGTCGTGAAGCTACCAAATGATACTATATGAAACAGAAAATCAGCAGATTCTTGCAGAGTTTTGATTTCCCGATAATTTTAAAGATTTAGAGCAAATATGGACATTACTGATTGAAAAATGACCAACCGATAGGAACTTAGAATCTGACATTTCTCGTTATCATCACGAAAATCAATCAATCATCATCAACAACAACGTTGTTGTCGTTAATACTAAAGGGCTAAACAGGATCCGTATAAGGGTCCTGTTTATTAATTAAATTAATGTTAACGTTTTAATGTTAACGTTAACATTAAAGTTAATGTTAACATTAACATTAAAGTTAACATTAAATTAATGTTAACTTTAATGTTAACATTAACATTAATTTTAATGTTAACTTTAATTTTAACATTAACATTAAAATTAATTTAACGTTAACATTAATTTAATGTTAACTTTAATACAATGTGATTTTTTGGCTGATTAGTGATTTCGGTATGATCGGTATATTAAAAAATTTAAATTTTTTTAAACTTTATCTTATGTAAAATTTAATAAAAGACATAATAAACTCTAATTTTAACTTATGAATATTAAAGTTTAAAGTTTAAAAAATATGTAAAAAAAAATTAGAAACTGATCATTAATTTTTGCCTTTTATAATTTGCAAATTTTCACACCTATTAATCTCCTTCGTTCTGCTCGGAAATTATTGGACATTTGACAAAAAATTAGCTGAGCGATTTTTTGGTCATTAAGTTAAGTTATTAATTTATTCATCTATTATTTATTTATTTATCTATTGTTTATTTATTTTTCTTTAATTTTCTTAATTTCTCTGTTTCTATCTCAATAAGTTCTTGATATATATATAGCCTCACACATGTAATCTTCTTACTTCTTCCAGCTTGCTATTAAACAATCTGCTTTCTCAAACATAATTATAGTTTATGAAATTATAATGCAAAAACTCTTTATATTAGGAGGTTTTAAAGTTAGCAGATGAAGTGGCAAATTTTGAAATTAAATAAAAGTTTAAAAAACTTTATTTGTATTTTAAAAATTTTAAAATTGAAAAATAAAATGGGAGTTACTAGAGATCCTATTTAACAAAATAACCTTCCTATTGTAAAAATTAAAGAAAATTTCTAAATTAGTATTTTAGTGTGAGTTTATTTTATACAAATACTATACTCTAACTCTAAAATTTTAAAAAATTTCAAAATTTACATAAATCTTATTTCTACTACAAAAATTAGGTCATTAATCAAAAGTTTTAAAGTAAAGATTATTATCAAAATTAATTATTTAATCGAATCGGCTAAAAAATTATTCAGCAAATTTTTTATTTGTGCTTCAGAATTATGAAGTTTCTTTGAAAGTTATTGCTATTTTCATAATTTTTGAAACATTTGATAAAAAGTGACTGATGGTATTCTAACCATTTCGATTAAGTTTGTATTTTCAGAATAATAGGTTTAATAAAAATACAAAATTGTATGTATACATAAGTATATACATATGTAACTTTTGTATTAGCAATTAAATAATACGAAAATTTTATTGGCACTGCTAGATATATAATTAAATTACAATGTAATGTAATTTAGATCTATAATTAATATCAATCAAAACAGCTGTAGTATATATTAAACAAGTTTCATTTAATCAGAGTCTGTTTAATAAACTTTAATAAATTAATATAAATAAACTGGATCCTATAAGTGGGGTCCTATTTAAAAAAGAAATTAAAGTTTAGCACAAGTATACAAATACCCATGCTAAACTCTTGGAGAGCATATATACGTATATACGTATGTATTTACATATATATGTATATATATATTTATATACATATATATATATGTACATATATAAAAATAACTTATACATTACTTTTAGTGTAATAGTTTATGCATAACATTATGATATACATGTAATATAATGATATATACATAATATTATGATATATTATCCAAGTGAATTCAAACTAGATTCAACTTAGATTCAGACAAACCTAACCTGGTTTATTTGAATCCAAATCAGGTTTAAGTGAACCTAATCTGTATTTATTTGAATCCAAGTTGGGTTCAAATAAACCTAATCCAGGTTCAAGTGAACCCAACTTGAGTTTATTTGAAACTAATTCAAATTACCAGGTTCAAATCGGGTTCACTTAAACCTAACACAGGTCCAAGTGAACCCAAATTAGGTCCACTTGAACCCAATCCCAGGTCCAAGCAAACCCAAAACAGAGTTCAAGTGAATCTAACCTGGATTCAAATGAATCCAAGTTAAGTTCACTTGAATTTAACAACTAAAACAATTGAGACTATACATCCAGGGCAACACCTGAGCCTGAGAGCTAGTTAACAACAACATTTGGTGTTTTTAATACTAAAGCATTATTGTTGGTTATAGTCAAAAAAATTTTGACCAAATTTTTTGACTAAATTTTTTTTTAACAAGATATATATAAGTATCCTGTTTACTGTATATGTAAAAGTTTTAATGTTAATATTTTAATGTTAATGCTTTAATATTAATATTAACATTAAAGTTAACATTAAAATTAATGTTAATATTAACATTAAACATTAAATTAATGTTACTGTTAATATTAAATTTAAATATTAATGTTAACATTAAAGTTAATATTAAAATTTATGTTAATGTTAACATCAATTTAATGTTAACTTTAATGTTAACGTTAACATTAATTTTAATTTTAACTTTAATATTAATTTTAATGTTAACTTTTAATATTAATTTTTAATATTAACGTTAATATTAAAATTAATTTAACATTAACATTTTAATGTTAATGTTAACATTTATCAGCAAATAAAATAAAGTTTATACATTGCTCATTTGAAAATAAATTTGTAAACAATTTTAATTAAAATTATATTTTCATATTTTAATTTTGAAACCCTTATTATAGAAATTAATATTATCAAAAGCTTTATATTATATAATAGAAATTTTAAAGTTAAAATGTGAAAATCTAATTTTAATTGGAATTAGTTACAGATTTATTTTAAATGAGCGATGTATAAACTTTATTTCATTTCTGATAAATTTGAAATAAACTTCAAAATGCGTCATTCATTTGCTAACTTTGAACCTCCTAATATAAATATCATTGTTTATGTTAAATATAAATATTTATTTTTACATTCCTGATTTTGAGTCTGATAGATTTTTCTCTTTCATGTACAATATTAGATTATTATTTTCAGAAAACGTGATTTTGTAAGACCTACTTTTTAAATAATATTTTACTTAATTTTTTGATTGTTCTGATTTCTGATTTTATAATTTATTTAATTTTTATAGACATATAGTACAGTAATAGGTGCCTTATCTTAATGTTATAAACCATATATTAGTAAACTGTTAAATATTGCTCTCAAATTAATAACACCATCTCTATGAAAATATTATCCACAAAATTTTTTAAATTACGCCATTGGACTACAAAGGTTTGATATTTAATTACAATATTTCCATTTATTTTATAATGATAAATTATCTTAAATGTAAAGAGTATTACTTTACCAAAATCAATAACTTAATCAAAGTGACTAAAAAATCATTCAGCAAATTTTTATCTGGTGCTCCAGAAATTATGAAAATAGTAGTAAAACATTTAGTGTTAGAGTTGTAAAATTACCATAATTTACGTAATTTATGTAATTTTTGCATAAGATTCGGTAAATTAGATTTTTATATAATTGTAATTTTTGATTACATAATGTATAGCTTCTATAATTAAATTCAGCAATTTGAGAGTTAAAATTTGGATCATACATTTAAATCAAATATTATTATAATGCAGCTTATACTTTTTTAAAGCAAGTACTTTATATAAAGATAATAAAAATTACATGAAATTTTATTTACTGAAATTTATATAAAATTATATGTATTGTAAGATTGTAATTTTCATAACACAACTCTAATATATATATGTATGTACATTGAGGGTTGTGTTACATAAATTGTAATTTTACATTACATGTAATTTTGTGTAAGTTTCAGAAAACTGACTTTCATAAAACTTCAGATTTATATTATTTGATTTAATGTACGATCCAAATTATAACTCTTAAAATGCCAAAAATTTAATCTCAGAAACTTAATGTTATGTGTTCAAAATTACAAATACATGAAATTTCAATTTACTGAATCTTATACAAATTTATATAAAATTACTAAAATTTAACAACCCTAATATACATACGTACATACCAATTTTTTATTATATCTATTATGCTAGAATAATAAATTAACCAGATTAGCCAAAAATTATTTGGCTAATTATTTACAGATGTCCTAAGAATTGTAAAAATAGCTGTAAGATCAGGTGACTACATCCTGATAAAATTTTCATAAAATTTTCATCTAATCAAAAATTTAATTAAATAA